ACACATGCACATGAGAAAAAAGAATACACAGTGATCACAACTAAAAGCTGGAAAAACTTGGAGGTTTGTCTGCATGCACAAGATAATTATATTTATTTTGTATTGACTACTGTCTTCTATACACGGTTTGTGATTATTTGCATCCCAACCAATTCCTTTTACTCTGTATTCTCTCTGAAGATCTGAATGAGGTTTTTTTTTACGTGTGTAGTGCTAATAGGGCAAGCAAGGGGTCTTTGGAATTTGGCAAATACAGAGTGTCTTCCCCTAGGAAAATCTTTTAGAAAAAATGCTGTTGTTCCTACCCCTGTCTTTTGAAAGTAGGTGGTCACTCTTAAGGAACAGCCCTCTTACAAAGAGCAGGTAAAATGAGGCAACTAGTATGAGACTGTGCAACAAAAGGTGCGAAATAAAGGGCAACCCTACAGCCTCCAAAGGAAGCCTCTTAAACAAAGAAACTGTAGTAACCCTTGTTGTACGGGGGAAGATTTTTATTGTTATGTTTGCATTTTAATCATGTATTTGCTTTATTGCCTTGAAAGTGCCTAACCCAGAAAGTCAGAAAATAATAAATATTTAAATAAAAATAAAATAAATATAAAGAAATGAAAGTTCCTACCTGTCACCTGTAGTCATACAGTCATAAAGTTTCACCTACTCTGAGCTACAGAACAGTATGTTCAAAGGTCTAATGACCTCATTATTAAATTAAATGCTAGTTAAATGAATTAAATATGTTCCCAGACTTCATATAGATATGCAAAACCATGGATAATAGGAAACATATTGAAATGAAGAATTTCTGGTCCAAGAATGACATAGATTCTCACTGGAAGTTCTAGAAATGCTTAGAGGACACATTTAATTGGACATTGATACATTAAACCATTGATCCTATGGATACAGAAGTCATATTGTAATGATATAATATTAGAACTTTGAACGTTAGGTTTCAAAATGAGTTTGATAATGTTTTGCTAGGAATTAGTCATTTAATTGGAATTATTTAATTAGTTAGGTTGTCATTAATTAATTCATTTCATACATCTGTAAGGCTAATGAAATAGAGTAATAACTATGCTAATTAATTTTGTTGTCTCTATGTGCTTTACACGACATATATGTTTGCAGAATGGTTTCAGGAAGGAACTGAAATAGGGATTGCTATACATGACCATTAAAATCCTGCCTTCCTCTCCTGCAGAAAAACAAAACACAAATCCTGTATGTTCAAGTTTTAAAATGTTCTCCACACACTCATTATTAGCCAAATTCCTGAAAGCATCTGTTCTATTGAAGGAGGAGATGGTAAAAGGCAGTAGGGTGGGAAAGAGAAAAAAGCCAAGGGAGAAGGAATTTGAGAGGGGAAATGGAAACTTTGTAGTTTCTAACATTCTGTGAAAAATAATAAATGCAATTAGGAAGTACAAAGAGATACATTGCAGCTTGTCCTGGGTCATAACATACAGTCTTGTATGTTCAATAATACAGCTTGATAACCCCTTATCCAGAATTCCAAAATCCAAAATGATAAAAAATCCAAAATTGTTCACATTGGTGGCTAAGATGGTTTCTTTTCTGATGGTTCAGTGTACACAAACTTTGTTTCATGCATACAGTTATTAAAAATACTGAGTATGGAAACATAATTTATGAAACATAAATTAGTTTAATGTTTAGTCTTGGGTCCCATCTCCAAGATACCCAAAGATATATCTATCTATATCTAGATTGAATCTATATCTGTATCTATATATGCAAATACAGGTATTCCAAAATCCATTTTCCAAAATGCTTGTGATCCTAAGCACACCAAATAAGTGATACTCAACCTGTGATACACAAAAGAAACCAGAATAAAACTAATAGACACCCATCCTACAGAAACAACCTCTATACATGCTAATGGAAGCTGGGAACACCAACATTTTAGGCCTAAGGGACTTGAGTTCTTGGAATCACCAAACCCACCACCATTATATGTATTCTGTTCCAGGAAATGCTCATGTTTCTTCATCTTTTCCATTATTTTTTCAATTGTTTCTCAATTGATATGGCAGGTAGATTAGTTGGTCTAGCTGTGCATTGCACTTCCTCCTACCTTAGTCTCCTTCTTTCCAGGCATTTTTGGTGTTGTTGTTAACCTCAATTATATTAACTGTATTTACTGGATTAGTTTTATGACAGTTCTTTCTCCCATTCTCAATTTTGTTGCCTCTCTTCAGGTCTCTATGTTGGTTATAAATCTTTTCAGGCTGGATAGTAAAGGACTAATCCTTGGGAAAGCACTGCGCCTGGACTTAAGGGAAAGATCTGAGAATGTTGCAGCTGAATGCTCTCTGCTGTAATGCCTGTTGAAAAGAGAAAATGCTCTGGCTGTAAGAGGGAAATCTCCTCTTCCTGTTCCAAATCTTGTCAAAAGGCTGAGGTGGCTGATCAATCTCCCAGTGAAGGAAAAGTCAGGAGGGGTAGGAAGAGACTCCCATAGTTTAAACCTAGATCCCCTAAAAATGACCGCAGATGTCCCAAAGAACATAATGCATCCTCTTCAGGTTTTAAGTAATTCTCTTTCCTCTTCTTTCTCTGTTTTTGTTTGTTTGGGCTGAGCCTGCTCTCTCTTTCCTATGCTGTAGTTAACTCTTTGGTTACCACTATCTTCCTTTGATATTTTTCTTTCCTTCATGCTCCTCCCCATTGTCTCTTCTCCCCCAAGCATGGAATCTGTGCTTCTTCAATTGACTACCATACAACACTCTGAAAACACTTGGTCTCATTTTATTTTGAAAGCTAATGGTTGGGTTAGTATTTAAGTAGTAGACCACCAGGGAAGAACAAAGTCATTCATATCCTACGAAGAAACCCTGGCTGAATCTTGGAGAGTCACTACTAACATTTTGAGGTGGACCACTGGTCTGACTCAGATTAAGGCAGATTCTTATAGTTCTAATTTTTTCTCTTTTCCACAATCTGAATGCTTCTTCTTTGTACATGCTGAGAACTGTAAAATGCCTTGACATCTTTGTTGGTACAAGGTGAGTTGCCAAGCAGCTGCTATTACCTGATTATTGCTTGTGGTACAGTTGAGAAAGAGAGACCGTAGTTGGGTTGTTGTAGGTTTTTTGGGCTGTATGGCCATGTTCTAGAAGCATTCTTTCCTGCTTCTAGAACATAGCCATACAGCCCAAAAAACCTACCACAACCCAGTGATTCCAGACATGAAAGCCTTTGACAATACAGGGGCTGTAGTTCCTTACTTGCTTGTTTGTTAGAACTAAGCCCCAGCCTCAGTTTCTTCCAGTTAGAAGAAAGTAATGGTAAACCTTGTCTAAACAATTTTTTTTACAAAGAACTGTGATAGGGTTACCATAGGTTGGAAATGACTTGAAGGCACATTACAACAACAACAACAACAACAACAACAACAACATAGTATTTCCAGTACAGCCCTAAACAGTTCTGGCCCCACCTATCTTCGCGATTGCATCTCCCTCTATTAATCGGTGTGAACTTTAAGATCTTCTGGGGAGTCCCTCCTTTCGCTCCCACCACCGTCACAAGCACAGTTGGTGGGGATGAGAGAGAGGGCCTTCTTGGTGGTGGCCCCCCACCTCTGGAACACCCTTCCTGGAGAAATAAGACAGGTCCCATCCCTCCCCTCCTTTCATAAGAGCCTGAAGACCTGGTAGTTTAAACAAACCTTTGAGAATGACTAGTTCTAGCTCTGCCCCAGATACTGTAGAAATTGGCCATATCTTTTTCTACCAATTACCCAGGTCACTTTCTTCTATCAGGCCCTGGAAATGTACAGCCATAGATTCTACCTAATTTCCTGGGCCCTCTAAAATCACACTAGCCCGGCCTGGCTGTTTAAACTGCCTTCAACAGGCAGGATTATTTTTAATATATGTGCTATTGTGGTTTTTAATGCTTAGTTTTTTTGTTAATTTTATGTTCATGCTGTTCTCTTTGTATGTATTAATTGCTTGGCAACTGCTCTGAGTCCCTTTGAGGAGATAGAGCGGTATATAAATAAAGTTTTTGTTGTTGTTGTTTGTGAATTCTCTCTCTCTAGAGTCTCATTAGCTTGCTCTTTAGCTTTCAAAGTTTTGCATTGCTTGAATTGTCATTGTTGTTAATTATAACACATCACATGCAGCTGTTTTTCTTTTTTTAGTGTGTATTGTGAACAATCATATTATTTTGTAAAAAAGAATACAGAAATAGCTTGCTGTTTTTGGAAATAGCAGCTCAGCAGAATGAACCAATATTAATTTATTTATTTATTTATTTATTTAAAGCATTTATATTCTGCCCATCTCACCCTGAAGGGGACTCAGGGTGGAGCACAACATAAATGGCAAACACATAAATAATAAAATAACTTATCTCAACACTAAAATCCTCTGTTACTACCACTGCATGAACCGCAGAATCTGAATATGATCCTTTCTTTGACTCCAGTTTCTAGTTTATATCACTTCATGTTTCAATGTACATGCCACAAATCCACAAGAACATTTTGCCTTGAAGTTATATAGCAAGATTAGTTTATTTTCATATAAGGCCCTTGGGAGTGTCCAGTACAATCAGAATCAGAAGCTTGCATATTCCTCTGAGATGGGATTCCTGGTACACAACATGTTCAGTTCACACCCACACAAACACACAGCACACACTCAAAACAGGTCACTTTCTAAAACTGAAGGGAATCAGAGGGCATAAGCACCTTAATGACCCACATGAAAGGATCTTGTGAATTCCGCAAAGACAAATATATTTCACAGCAGAGAAAAATAATGAATGTCTAGTAATTGTTTTCTGAAGCACATGATATAGCCTACATGCCTGGATTGTGTAATTTTAGTCAGCCACTGTGCTCACAGATATGAACAAAGCCTGGTCCAAAGTCATCACACATTTCAGATATCTCCCACAATATGCTGTTCCCATGCATAGCCAGATATAAATGGGGTGATCCATCAAATAATCCATCAACTAACCTTCTTCACCATCCTCAAAACTGCTGACATTTAGCCAGGTTGCTATGTAATCCTTTGAGATAAACCTCCAGTCAGACCTGTTGTATCAGGAAAGTAATCTCCAAGACGATCAGTTGCACAATCCAAGGATTTCTGTTTTAAGAACATAAGTAGAGAAATTATCGTTGCTGCAATTACAATTTTTTAAATCATGAAGTTGGAGGAATTAGACAGGATATACATTAGTAACAGGATCACCATGAGCCCCTGTCATGAATATACTTGATTAGGTTGTGGTCAATGAAATCATAATACCATGCTGAGACTCTCATATTCCAATTAAAATAAAAGCAGTCTCCTAGCTTTCATGGACATAAAGAGATGAACTGGAAAAACGAAAACAATCAGTATCAGGATAGTAATCAGAAGGATAAACCTAAACAAACAAACAAAAAATGCCACTTGTTCTATTCTTTGACACAGTTAAACAGCTTGATATCTGCAGTTAAGTATTAAGATAAACATATATTTTCCTGGAATGTGGTATAACTTATTTTTGGGTAAATATGAAAAAGAGGTTAAGGCGGAAATGGGAACTTGTGACCTTATAACATTGGTGGATTTTGACAGGATCCTATTGGTGTGTTCTGCTGACCTAAACTGATGTACGCTAGTTATATTTTTTTGTCCATTGCATAACTATTGATGTTTCTAATTCCAAGTAAAGTTCCACAAGTGTCACTATTTCACAGCTGTTTCACAATGTTGAATGGGATGTAACTATTTTTCAGAGCCTTCAAATGTAAACCTGATTCTGTACTGACAAAGTAGGAGACAACTGTTTGAGCCTGCTTTTACAGCCTGACGAGGACTCTAACTGCACACCATGCCAAAAATGGTTTGGTGCTCCTCCTCCTCCATGTCTTGGCTGGCCACCTGATTTGGGGGTGGGTCTTCTTTCTACTACAGAGTTGCATGACCCACAAGGGAGGAAGGAAGAAGGGAAAGCCTCCATCTCTTTTCTCCCATCCTCCTTCATGGGTCATGAATAATGGGAGTGGAAAGGAGACCTCTCAGGATGAAGTAGGGGGGTGGGGAAGGAGGGGACAGCCATCCCACCTTTCCCAACTGTTTTAGTCTCAGGAGCACAGGATGGCTATTGAAAATAAATCTACACTGCCCTATAATCAAGTTTCAAAATATGGATTATGTGCACTGAAGTAGATTGTATTAGTCTACATTGCCCTATGATCCAGATCAATGTATTTAATCCACATTCTGAAATTGGATTATAGGGCAGTGTAGATCCAGCCTAAGACAGCTGGAGCCAGTTCTACTTAGGAATTAGCTGCAGCCATCTGGACTACCCTAGCTCAGGGGAGAACCTGAATTCTGGTACAGGATTCAGATTTTATCTCAAATTAGATTAACTCAGGGTAAATCCATGTTAAAGTGCCCTTTCCTGGGTTAATTCAAATCAGCTGATTTTACTTCATATACTAAAATGAGAGGTCATTATATGTACATGAGTTATAGGTCAGTGTAGGGTTCCTTTATAAAGCATGATGTAGGGTCTAAACTTTTATATCCAAATTTGTTTAGCTGCAAAATTCCATCCAGGTCTTGAGCGCACACACAACCTTTTCAGTATTGGCTAGGAATTGTCAATTTCCTTGGGGATAAAATGGGACAGTAAATCTGGCAGAATTTGTTTATAGATAGAGTCAGTGAAGGCTGTTGTTTACTGGGAAGTTTGGAAAGTAGCTTCTAATTAACCTTATTGCATTCATTGGTTTTGTTGCCTTCCCATTAGGCTTTGTACTACGGCACCTCCTCTTGCCAATAGCTGTTGGCAGTCAAAATATCTGTAATGTTTATTGGATTACTTAGTCAGTTGACAGCTTAAGATGCTTATCTGTGTTATTATCAATTTTCATTTATTTAGTGCAAATACTTTATTAAATGTCAGCTGCATTTGTGAGGCATGTAATGACTGATATATTTTCAATTTTGCTGAAGAAATTGCTTTTCAGTTTAAAAGGAATTGTCCTGGAACATAATTTTTAATTGCTAATAGAGTCATTTATGAAAAGGTTAGGAATTCTTATTTCTTAGGCCAGATCCAGACAGGCCTTTTCCCCAGAAGCATCTATGTTAAAAAAACCCACAGATGTTTCTGTGGGCCTGTCCACAGACCTTGTCTCGGAAGTAGCCCCAGAGAACATCCAGAGGCCCTTTCCCCAAGCCCCCAGACCCCTTAGAAAAGTAATAAAACTTATGTATCCTCCATTACAAGCCTCGGCCAGTTCTCGAGGTGCATAGAAATGATATGATTTTCCTCCCTCCTCTCCCCCCCCCTCCTGGCGCATCATTTCTACGTGCCAGGAGAGTTGGCCGAGGCTTGTAATGGAGGGCACATAAGTTTTTATTACTTTTCTAAGGGATCTGGGGGCTTCGGGGGAGGGGATGGGTATTCCTACAGTTCACCGGGCTTATTTAGCCCAGTAAACTGTGGGAATACTGTGTACTGCAGTATTCTGCAGTCCAGACCCGGAAATAGTGGATTTATCCCTCACCTTCCAAGAAGGCGCAGAATACATCCACTATCAAATTAATTTGCTACATACATTAATTTGGGACTGTCCAGAACGTTGTCTGGACAGCCCCTCCTTTATTGTGATAGATACCACAATAAATGTGCTGTCTGGACAGGTCCCTAGTAAGTTTCAGGTGTCTCATTTAATTAGTTATTATGTTCTGCCTAAAAATTTCAGCTTCTTTTAAATTGAATCCTATCCAAATTGCCTCCCAGAATGATATTTATTCTGCCATATTCTTGTTTAAATGGTATGTAAACTTTTAAAATTTATTTTTATCCAGTTTTTTAATTAGTTACTCAGTTTGGAGATATTGGGAGCAGAGAAATGTTCACCGTTGTAGAGTCATACAATTTTCACTCACATTCTAAGGAATTTGTTTAGCTGTTTACTCCCAGAATTAAATTTATGTTTTGATTACATACTGTGTATATTGCGTTAAAAGTGCATTTTGTGCAATACCTGGAGTGTGGCAGTCATCTCAGGAGCACTTGGCTTTTGATCAGTGGTTCTTAACCTGTGGGCCACAGATCACCAGTGGGCCATGAGGACAGAAATCTGGTCCATGAGCTTCCTTCCACTTTATTTTATATTTCCTTTCCACTCTTCCGTGGCACTCTTTCCGTGGCACTCTTTCATTGTCACTGACCATGGCACATATTCTGTATCAAAAACTAGAACTGATGTGGTCTACCCAATGCAATTTTCTGAATCAGCACCCCAAACCAATCTAAAGTTGACCAAAAACTGATTCATAATCCTTTTGGTACTAATGTTGGAACATGGTCTCTGGTCAAAGTGGTCTCTGGTCAAAGTGGTCCCTGGTCAAAATGGTCCCTGGACAAAGTTGTCCCTGGTCAAGTGATCCCTGGTTACAAAATGTTGGGAACCACTGTTTTAGATCTTGCTGAGAAAAAATCCTCACAAGTGACCTGCTTAGGCCAATTGTGTCCTCTCTCATTCTGTCTCTCTCACTCTCTCTCTCTATTACCTACATCATGGGGTTGTTGTAAAGATAATGTGCTGAGGTGGTACGTTTTTTACTCTACCTTGTCTTCACTGAAGGAAAGGCAAGGCACTGTAGCAAATAAATGAAAATAAATTGTAGTTTAATTTTGAGTACCAGATTAGTCCTAGTATTGAAAATTCTAAACCCAAATTAATGTCTGAATGCTGTTGAAGTATGCAGATAAAATAAAATATGCTACTTTGTAATATTTTCTTCCATGAGTGATCTATCAGAATCAGGATAAATTCCTCTCCCCCTGTTCAGAGTGAAGTCAATTTTTTGTTTGAATAAAACCTGGGATTCTTTGTCATTATGATATGGAGATTGTAATTGGGCTTCACAATCCATCATGTTCCATCTCATCCTCAATTTGCCCAAAAGGCATGTCTTCTCAGGAGTTTCTATGTGAAGCTTTTATTGTAAAAGCAAAGAATTTTAGGGTGGGGGATCTATTTGTCACCTCCTCCTCTTTTCTCTGCATTGCTACATAATATCTCTTAAGGATGGAAAGAAAGGATAGCTGCACAGTATCTTTTTGACTGGAAACAGTTGGATGTCTCTATGCTATTTCTTCTGGAGGAAGTCATTTAGGTTGAATTCAGTTTCTTCATTAAGGCATAGCTTTGAGGAAGAGCATTAAATGCTTGTTTGTAATGTGTGGAGAAACATTTGAATTCTATAGCTGGGTGACAACCTTTCTGTTTATGCAATAGTTAGACACACAAAATATAATCCAGTAATTAGTTTGGAATAAAGATTAGGTGGGAGGTCTCTTCTTTCATTGCTTGTCAACACTCCAAATCTGTGCTAGTTCCACATGTGTTTATTCACATGTCCATTCTGTTCTGTTCCTATGCCAAGCTGTGGGGTTTTATACAAATGTTAACTCCCAATCAAAATTCGAAATTCTTTGTTAAATATGTATCTGCTGTTAAAATAGCATTTTAGTAAATTCAAGCCAAGACCTATAGCATTAGATTTGAATGGGCATGGTCTGAAGAACAAATGTGTACTAATTCACATGTTCTCATAGGAAATACAAATTGAGATGATGCACTTAAGAGACAGAGGAAATGAAACCTTTGAGCACATTTTGTCTGACATGGGGCAGAGCGCAGCCATGGGGCCAAATACACCATCCCAGGCCATATTTGTGATACAAACATTCCTGATTTTATATACTGCCCTTTTTGGCAGAAAAAAGCAAATGAATATCATCTCGTAGAAGCCTTCAGTGGCAGAGGGAGAAGGCAATTCTATTATTTGTATTTATTGGCTTTGTTGCATCATGGGCCAGAAGGATTAAGGCCCTCACCTGCATCAGCCCTCCTGCAAGACCGCCCTTAAATGCCACCTTAGCAAACATTTCTCAGGAAAGATGCAGGCCTATTTCTCTGACATGCCCACTAGTTTCTCCATCTTTTCCTCATGGGTAAAACAGTGAACTCTGAAAGACAGTGTTTTTATAATGCTTTAACGATGTTTCATTCAGATAGTTGCATTGTTGCTTTTTGTTTGTTTATTTACTCATATTTTAAATTGCACTT